CTTATCAGTCCATATAAACCTTTCATAAATTCCGGAGGATAGTGATGAGGGATTAATGTCTCTGTGATGTGTTTCATTTCCCTATCAAAGCTTTCTGACTTATAAGTCGAACTCCTAGTCTGATTACTGGAACATTTAATCAAGCCTACATTGACAAATATAAATAAGGTGGGATGATACGAAATCCGAGTATCTATTCGAATGTGTTGGTTTCGCCATGAACACTGGTATCTAAGCTTCCATCTTCTCTCCTCTTGATTTTGCAGTTCAATGTGGGCAATTCTCCTTCTTCATTTTCTAATTCATGAGTGAACTGGATTGCATATACTGCAGCTGTAATGTGTGCAAACTACTCTGGATGTGTTCTGATATCAGTAGAGTAAATGTGTTATCTACATATCGCTAGGATACTTTCGGGGTGAGTTGGAATGTTTCTGTGTGAATTTGTTTCAAACTGTCCATAGATTGGTCTATTGTGATCGGCGATATTGGAGATCCCTTCGGTACTCCTTCTTTTTGTTCCTACCTTTTGTCATGTAATTTGAATACTGTGGAGGTTAAACACAATCATTACATCGAATCCTACCATATTTTCTCCCTCTTCTAATTGTTAATTGTGTCTCAATTTAATTTCATTGTTGAGCCTAGACTTTGAGCGATCTCTAATAGTATTGTAGCTAAATATTTCAATAGCTCATTTGTTGATGTGTTTCTAAAATCGGCCATTGGCCTAACATGATAAACAGTTTTACAAACCTTATTGATACCATATATTGTACTATGACTGTTAGTTTTAGGCATTAAATTAAACCACTGAGACTCACCCGGTGAGGGTTTCATTTAGCTTATTCGATCAGCTGCGGAATTTTTTATCTTGTCCATGACTGTGTCTGTTAGTGGTTGAGTAGTTAGTTTAGTAGCAAGTGTTCTTGAGAAAGAAATTGTTAACCGACTACAATCCACCTATGATTTTTTTTCGAAACCCAAACTAAGTGGTGATCACAAAGACACTTATCATGTCTGAGAGTAATACTTGACCACTGTGGTTTAACATGTAATTCCACATTGGATATCTTCACCTATTACAGTAAGCAGTGATACAGTACTGTTTACTGGCTGACAGTTCGAGTACAAGTTATTACTCAGAATTATATAAATGTATTCACACAAATTTCGGCATCTGATTTAGTTAACTCGTATTCCGTGTTTTAAGTGATCTTCGAGTCTTCAACACCAATCGGGTTATATGTGTTCGACCAGTCCTACTGTACTTTAGTTAGTTTGTAGGTTCGAATGGTACCTTAACTCCAGAATTACTAAGAAATTCACGTGAAGTTTCTTATATTCCTTCCCTTTGTTGTAATTTCATCGAAGCCTTGAAATATCTCTTATTTGCGTTGGAATTACTACGTACAATATAATATAGAGGTAACTCTATAACTCAACTGTTATCCTAAAGAATATATTGGGAAATAAGCAAAAATTTATCTCAAAATAACTACTAACATTGCGGTGAATACTGACGACAGTGCAGTTACAGGAAAAGATATCAGAAACTCTACATAGACGTCATAACTTCACCAGGCTGAAATTGTTTTTAGCACACAATACACCGATTCAGCCTTAACGTTGACCCTGGATGTGACTGGTCACAGATACTCATAAATTAAACCACTCACAGGATGCGTTATACGGTTCAGCCCTCCCAACCGCGTACAATAGAACACAAAGTCTGATGCTAATTGTCCATATATTTCAGGCGATCTAATTCATCTGCACATACAGTTAAATTACCCGACCACAACGCACCACAAGTTATGGGGATCAGGCAATCATTTTCAAGCCTAAAAAATGAGCTAATGCACAATAATGGATTTCATAGAACATGAAATAATTTTTCGAAAAATAGGTCAAACATATATATATAAACATGAAATTAAACTCTTTCCCCGCTGGAATCAGAGGGGCAAAATGATGCCGGTTGGTGCAAGCCTTCGGGAAGCCAGTCATCCGATGTGCCTCCGCTCGATGAAAGCCAAAGTAAACATGGCAACATGGGATGTCAGCACCATGCATGAACCTAGCAAGGCTGCTCCTATTGTAAAGAGATGAGAAGGTACGGGAGAGAAGTGCTTGAAATCTGTGAGGAAGCAGCTGATGGAATGGAAGTGGACTCTCCAAACTGTCAACTGGAGAGGAGTCAATAATAATCTACTCCGATATTCTCAACCAGACGACAACCACACTGAGTTTTCGAGTGGCTATCATGATTTCCCTTTGAAAAGCATCGAAGGCTCTCTCTCATGCAATGGGAACCAGTCTCCTCGTGCAGGATCAGAATCATGACGGCAAGATTCAACTCGAAAGGAAGAAAAGTCACATTCATACACTGCTACGCTATGCTACGCACCTACAAATAATGAAGATGAAGAGGGAAGGAGGAATCCTACAGACAACTGCAATCACCAATTGACAAGATCCCACCCCAAATATCGACGGTGACATCAAAGTTATAATGGGTGGGGTGAAGTGAATGCCAAACTGGAAGCCAATAATACAGGAAGAGAACTTATCATTGGTCAAGAAGCACTCGCAAAATGATGAAAGAGAATCAAAAACTGTTTGCAGAATTCTGCGCATTCAATGATTTGGTGAGAGGAGGCGAGGCGGTCTGTACAAACACAAGGATATTCACAAGGCAGTGACATAGATTTGATTTCACCAGACACCAGCACACACCACACTGAAAATCAGATAGACTTCATCTCAGTGTGAAGAAAATGGAGATGCAGCCAACCTACTGGACACAAGATAGCATCAAAAAGGGGAGCAGATGTAGGTGGTTCACACCACTCACCATTTAGTGCAAGGAACCTACCTTCAAAATCAAGTTGAAAGCCTTCACAGAAGCTGGTGATAGACAACCACAGTTCAAGTTGGCCAACCACCCAGAACACAAAGTGAACTGAAGGAAGAAACTACGAAGGACATCTTCACGTCAGTCAGCCATCAGGACAAAATGAGAGACAGTGAGCAACATCCCTGAGGAAAGCTGCGTGGAAGAGCACTGGAACTCTTTGAAAGAGATGTGGAGGGAAATCTGCATAACCGTATAAGGAAGGAAGAAGAAGCAAGACCAAGAATGGATCTCGATGGACACATGTAATCTGGTTGAGGAGGGCGAGGAAGATTGTGAGGCAGAGGATGAACCAGTGGAGTGCAGCACAGTGCAGTGCAAGGATGAACAAAGGAAAGGGGAACTGAATACAACCTGACCTATAAAACATTACACTGGACAGAGAAGTGAAGAAGAATGCGTGCAAAGACAAAACACACTTCTACAACACACTTGCTAGTGAAGCAAAATAGGCTGCAGGTAGGAGAGACAGAGACCTGACAACACTAAATCAAATAACCAGCTTACTATCTGGGAGGGGAGAGATCAAAACACATGTAACCAATAAAAGATAGTGAAGGGATATTAGTTACCGCAAAAGAGGAGAAATAAAAGAAACGATGGATTGATCACTTCAGAAAACACTTGGATCGACCACCGCCACCACCGACTGTAACTGGTCCTGAAATGCTACCAGCAACCCAGCCACAGAACTACCAGTTAACATAAACCCTCCGACGAAGGCAGAAGTGAAGTCCTGAATGCAATAAAGTTGCTGAGATCCGGGAAAGCAGCACGATCAGACAGAATCCCACCGGAAGCGCTGAAAAAAGACGCAGAGACAATAGCAGCGGACATACTCACTTCACTGTTGCAGAAGGTTTGCAAAGAAGGAAGGAAGGGTAGAAGGAGGGAAAGGTGCCTGCTGGTTGGGTGGAAGAAGGATTATCTTTTCAAACTCCCAAAGAAGGAGGACCTAAGTGTTTGCAATAACTGCAGCGTAATCATGCTCCTGTTCTTTCCAAGTAAAATATTAAGCCGGATCATCCTCGAGAAACTAAATAATCCTCTGCAGTCAAAATTATCACCAGAACACGCTGAACGGCTGACTGGCTGGCTGGCTGACTGGCTGGCTGGCTGGCTGGCTGGCTGGCTGGCTGGCTGGCTGGCTGGCTGGCTGGCTGGCTGGCTGGCTGGCTGGCTGGCTGGCTGGCTGGCTGGCTGGCTGGCTGGCTGGCTGGCTGGCTGGCTGGCTGGCTGGCTGGCTGGCTGGCTGGCTGGCTGGCTGGCTGGCTGGCTGGCTGGCTGGCTGGCTGGCTGGCTGGCTGGCTGGCTGGCTGGCTGGCTGGCTGGCTGGCTGGCTGGCTGGCTGGCTGGCTGGCTGGCTGGCTGGCTGGCTGGCTGGCTGGCAACTAACCAACCAACAACCCATCGTCTGACAAATATGTAGACGAAAGTGGAAACAGATTGGATTGGACATTTACCGAGAAGACCGTTTGGGGACATCATACGCCATGCCAGGTCGTCTAATGATAGTTAAATGGGAAATGAGTTTGTCGTCTGAGGCGGGGTGACATGGAGGAGATGGTGTGAGGAAGAAATGAAAGCTTATGTGTAGTAATGGAGCCAGGTTGAGAAGACTGGAGAGAAGAGAGTGAAATGGCGACTCGGTACTAAAGCCCTATTTTCCACTAGCAACCCAAGGGGAAAATAATAACAATAGGTGCGGGGTTAAACCATTTCTGTCTACAAAAATTGATTCATAATTGGAGAACATTTCATTTAGAGATGGAGAGAAGAAAACCTCCGCATGGTAATCATCTTGCTTAGTAAAAATCAAATAACTTCTATGTGAAAGTTGAAATATTAGTAAAATTGCGAGGACGCCTGGAATCATTCAACGGTTTCGCACACTTATGCGCATGCCAACCCGAATTTTTCAGACTTGCCCTATTAGTCCGATTATATGAAAACCCTAGGCACGTATTAACCGTATGATGTGGACCATTTTCCACCAATCAATTAGATTTGCGAGAATGCTTATGCGAACCGCCCACACACAATCCAACATAAGCCCCGAATTCTGATTGATTTAAGACTAAACGGCAGTTTAAGCATCATACTAAGCAAGGGCACTTAAAGGAAATAATACAGCAGTGATATTGAAATAAACGTGTTCAACATAAGATTAAATCGAATAAAATATTTGCACTGATAATTATGCTAGCACCGCAAATATAAATGAAAAAAAGAACAAAATGTTCACAGTGATGCGTGTTCTTCACAAACGACGAGTGAAGCAGGAAAGTTAAAAAGCCGCTCAGAAAACAGCTATATACAAAAATAAATTATTGTCTCTTCCTATCTTTGTTAATTTCCCTTACATTTTTGTCGCTAGGCCAACTTCTTCATAATCACGTTCCAGTGCAGCTAACTCTTCACGTGCCACAGTAAATTCATTCTCTTCTAATCCTTCATCGACATACCAGTGAACAAAAGCTCGTTTATGATACATCAAATCAAATTTCCGATCTATTCTACTAAAAGCTGTTGCAATTGCTGTACTGTTAGCTAGCATACAACAACAACGTAGTACTTTAGCCAATTCTGATCTTGGTACTGCTAACATTGGTTGGGCATTGATATCAACTTTAAAGCCTGTTGGACACCAGTCAACAAATCGTACTGAACGTGAGGCTTTGATACCTTGGATTGCTGAATTCACTGAATTTGGATCAACATCACCACGGTATAACATACATATGGCCATGTATAAGCCTTGACATGGATCAACTTTCACAAAACTATGAGCTGGCTCAAAACACGCTCTTGTTATCTGATCCACACTATTCTGTTCATGATAGGCTTTCTCAGCTGAAACAATTGGATTGAATGTGATTAATGGAAAGTGTATTCTTGGATAAGGAACTAAATTTGTTTGAAATTCTGACAGGTCACCATTCAATGAACCACTAAATCGTAATGCAGCTGTCAATGAACTAATTACCTGAGCTAGTATTCGGTTAATATTGGTAAATGATGGACGTCGGATTGTCAAATTTCGACGGCATATATCCCATACAGCTTCATTATCCATTAGAAAGACAACTTCAGAGTCTTCAATGCATGCGTGTGTTGCTAGCACAGAATTGTACGGTTCAACAACTGAACTAGCCAATCGTGGAGCTGGATAGACAACTAATTCAATCTTAGTACTTTTACGATAATCTTGAGTCATTTTATTCATGAGTAGTGAAGTAAATCCTGAACCAGTACCACCACCCAATGAATGAAAGATAATAAAACCTTGAAGCATATGACATGTTTCAACAACTCGCCGAATTCGATTCATCACCAAATCTGACATTTGACTACCGGTTTTATAATAACCGCGTGCATAATTATTAGCTGCATCTTCTTTACCACTGATTAAATTCTCTGGATGAAATAGTTGACGATAAAAACCTGTACGTACTTCATCTACATTTTTATAAAAGTGATAAAAAAGGAGGTTAAATCACAAATATGGTAAAGTATTAAAAAATTGAACGTATCCTGATTAACAATGGACTGGGTGGTTTGAAAAAAATTGAGCACCGAGTTAGTTTGGGTTATCCTATAAGGTGTATTTTTACTTGTGTAATCCCAACGTAGTATGTTAGAACAAACAGCAACGTTTCGATCTTGCTAGGAAGGTCCTTTTCAACAGTTTTCAGGTTAATATTCAAGTTTTGGTACAGAAGGGGACCTTTACAATCATCCACTCAAATCGTGATATGAAACAAAGATCAATATTAATGTTGTAGGTAAGTGAATTAGCAAATCGATCAGCTAGGCTTTTTGAGTTGGCCAATTAAGGTGGGACAAAAATAGGGGGGAAATTTAGTTCGACTACGAAAAGTACATGCGGTTATGAGTCATCAAGGGTGAGAAAGAATGGATTTCCGATTAAGCGAACTGACACCACAAACTACTCAGACATGAATAAATTGTGAATAAATCAAATAGAACAGTGAAATGAAATTGTGCTCTACCTTCTCATTTGCAACACTGTCTATGCGAGTCATTAATGTTTGCCATATTTGTGGGAATGTCTAACCCATCTTTTCTGTTGACTGAAAAAGGTGTGCAAAGCTTCTGCGATAAAGAAAACTTTTTTGTAGGACGCTTTTCTTTTCGAATGATATTTAATGATCTAAGGCATTAGCTACGATGACAGTGCTTTTTTCAAGTTTTTCCAGATCATAGGAATTTTTTGATGGTTTCTTGTAACTTCGACAGTGTTCGGTTAGATGTGTTGGTACTTGACGTGATGTCTGCAGTGTGTGCGGAAACGCATTCACTACGATCTACCATATAAACAAAGTCCTGTTGTTCCAAATGGAGAATCGGATCTTTTAATTTACACAGGTGTGATTGTTATATGTTCATCACCTTAAAGAATAATCTGATGTTGTAATTATTAAGGATACGTTTTATTCCTTCTGATGTGGATATTCGATAAGGAAGTATTATAGTACTTATCCAATCTTTATGGCTTGGTTTTTCTGTCTTTTTTCGATAAACCTTTTTTCTATCCTTCTTAGTAGCTTTTCCGGATAGTTGTTTTGTTTTAAAACTTCCTGAACAAACAATATTTCAAGAGAAGACAAAATATAATTTCATTTCACTGTATTCCATATGATTTATTCATGTCTGAATAGTTTTCGATGTTATTCTGTTTAATTGTCTTAATCATGTCAAGAAACATGGTTGTATTTCAACAATTTATCGAATCCTATTCCACAATACTTTATTGATCTACCATATTCATCAGTTTTACGCTCCTTTCCGAGTTATATACATTCCATGGACCATTTTTCTCATCATAAAAACTTATGATAATTTGGTTGGTTGTGGCTAGCAGGAGGATCCAGGACGCACGTTTCGTCCTACTTGGGACTCGTCAGCTGGATGTACCTACACCTCAGTGATGTTGTTCCCACTGAGACTCGAACCTCATGCGAATCACTTTGAACGTCAAGGCGTTATCTACTATGCCACACAGAAGCGATAGCTGTTCCTTGTACAACGGGTAATAGTTGTTACTACTTATTGGCATACTTGTTGTTCTCCGTTGCTTTGTTGGATCGAATTGTTCGGCGTCTGAAGCGATGGGTACGAGGTTCGAGTCTCATTGGGAACAGCGTCACTGAAGTGCAGGTACATCCAGCTGACGAGTCCCAAGTAGGACGAAATGTGTGTCCTGGATTCTCCTGCTAGCCACAACCAACCAAATTATCATAACTAACATTCAGGCAATTTCGAAGAATCCGCATAGGAGCCCATATGCCAATAGAGGTCGAAAAATTCTATCCAACAAAACAATGTAGAATAACGAGTATGTCAATAGATAGTAAAAATTTCTTAGTTTGGAATGAAATTTTTCAGTAGACTCAGTCGGTTAACAAACTGTTTTCAGGGATGTAGTCTTAGTATGCTTAACACTCTTTCGGCTGATTTTGTTGGCATTCAGCGGCTTGAAAATGTTCAACAGTTCATTACTTAACGATACTTGTAGTGTCGCGTTGTAATACTAGATAGAACTGATTGACTCCTGTTGGTTTATGGCCTCCTATGCAGATGCTTCTAAATTGTCTGATCACTCACTATGTTGTCATTTGTCTTGATGGTAGCTAACAGTGGAACCCAATACCCACGCTTCATCTTGACTGGGACTCGTCAGTTGGTTGTACCTGAACCCCAGTGAGTGGTATCGTTCCAAATGAATGTTTTCTCGAATGTAGTTTCAGTATATTTAACACGCATTCCGCTGATTCTGTAAGCATTCAGGGACTTTAAAATATTTAGCAGTTTCATATTACAAGTAAAAACAATGTACAATTTGTTCAGATTTTTAGATTTTTAGAGGTAAGAAATAAATATCCTTTTGCAAACACAACTGGGGGTTAAAAATGTTAAAACCTTTGACATTCTTTATGATCACATGTCTTTCAATAATTTTTCTTTCTTTATCCCTTCAATGTGTTTGAAAGAGTTGGTATTATTGTGTATTGATAAAGTTCGTTTCACATTTCAAGGAGAACATTTTCAACAAATAGATGGTGTGGCCACGAGAAGTCCCCTGGCACCATTGCTTGTTTTTTGTATCATATATTGAAGACTTGACTGATAATCTCCTCAGCAAGGTTACTTTGCATGAGCAATATGTTGATGATATAATTAAAATATGTGAAAAGCAGGAAGATGTGACTTGTTTGTCGGAAAGACTAAACACTATACAAAACAATACACATTGAATATTCCTATTTAGACATTTAGAAAAAAAGACTGATTGAGCAAAGAAATATATTCCTTTTCAATTAGGTCTTCATCTTAGGCTCTACACTAATATATAGTTTTACAGTCTAATTAAATTATCAATCACATGGTGATGTTTCGGAAACAATGGAGTTACTAAAATCGGAAATATGAGGCAGGCTATTCTTAGGTAAATGGAGTTACTTTTGAAGAGTGTTCAGGCATTCACAATAAGCGTTTACGCAATAATAAGAAAACAAACGAATATTGGTAGAAACAAGAAGGGGAAGAGGCGTACAAAGTAAACCTAGAAGTTACATCTTGTTGACGGCCACGGTAATGAAAGTGATCGAACAAACTGTTTTTGGATACAAAGGCTAGGTTTGTAAAGGTGGATTGCAATCGCCTCTGCTATGTGAGACTAATAAGAATGCTGTTCTGAATAAGTTCAACCTCGCCTGGTTAACTAGTTTACTAGTTACTAGCCGGTCCTAAGCCCGGGTAAAGAGGGAAGGTTGGGCATAGGGCTAGCAACCCTACCCCGTAAAACAAATCTAACCGCTAAAGAAACTTCAAAGCACAAACAAAATATAAAAAATGAAAACAAACTTATTCCCCGCTGGAATCGGAGAGGCGAAATGACGCCAGTTGGTGAAAGCCTTCGGGAAGCCAATTGGCCGATGTGTCTTCTCTCGATGAAAGCGAAAGTAAACGTGGGGACATGGAATGTCCGCACGATGTTTGAACCCAGTAAGGCAGCCCAGATTGCAAAGGAGATGAGAAGGTATAACATCGAAGTGCTTGGGATTTGCGAAAGCAGATGGAATGGGAGTGGACTCTCCAAACTGTCAACGGGAGAATCAATAATCTACTCCGGTCACCCAGACGCCAACCACGAGCACACTGAGGGAGTGGCTATCATGATGTCCTCAAGAGCATCGAAGGCTCTCATGCAGTGGGAACCAATCTCCTCCAGGATCATGTCAGCAAGATTCAACTCAAAAGGAAGAAAGGTCACAATCATACAATGTTATGCACCTACAAATAATGCAGAGCAAGAGAAAAAGGAGGAATTCTACAGACAACTTCAGTCAACACTGGACAAGACGTCAGTTGGCGATATCAAAATTCTAATGGGCGACATGAATGCCAAACTGGGAGGGGACAACACGGGAAGAGAACTAACCATGGGTCGAGAGGCGCTAGGTGAAATGAATGAGAATGGAGAATTGTTTGCAGAATTCTGTGCATTCAACGATTTGGTGATTGGAGGCAGTGTGTTCAGGCACAAGGATATCCACAAAGCGACATGGATTTCACCAGATGGACACACTAAAAACCAAATCGACTTTATCTCAATCTCAAGAAAATGGAGACGCAGTCTACTTAACACAAGGTCAAGAAGAGGAGCAGATGTAGGTTCAGACCACTATCTAGTGCAAGGAACCTTCGAAATCAAGTTAAAAGCCTTCAAGGAAGCTGGTGATAGACCTCAATTCAAGTACAACACTCGGAAACTGAAGGATGAAACTACAAAGGAGATCTTCAAAGCAGCCATCAAGACAAAATGGGAGACGTCGAGGGACATCCCTGAAGAAACCTGTGTAGAAGAACACTGGAAGTCTTTGAAAGCTATGTGGAAAGAAACCTGCACAACAGTATTAGGAAGGAAGAAGAAAGAAGACAAGGAATGGATCTCGACGGATACCTGGAAGCTGATAGAGGAGAGGAGGATGGTGAAGCAGAAGATAAACCAGTGCAAGGATGCTCAACGACAAGAGGAACTGAGCACAATGTATAAAACACTGGATAAAGAAGTGAAGAAGAGTGCACGCAAAGACAAACGACACTTCTACGACACACTGGCAAGTGAAGCAGAACAGGCTGCAGGTAAGAGAGACCTGACGACATTGTATCAAATAACCAGGTTGCTATCAGGGAAGAGACCAACACAGATGAAACCAATAAAAGATGAAGAAGGAAATTTAATTACAAAAGAAGAGAAACAGAGGAAACGATGGGCCGACCACTTCAAGAAGCTCTTGAATCGACCACCACCTGCACTTCGTCCAGAAATACCACCTGCAGCCGCTGAATTACAAGTGAACATAAATCCCCCAACGAAAATGGAAGTCCTGAACGCCATAAAGCTACTGAAATGCGGGAAAGCAGCAGGACCA